CTTCCTACAGGTGCACGCTACCACGCCTGGTTAATTTGTTGATTTATTGTAGAGACGAGGCCTCACCACGTTGCTGGTCTCGAACCCACATGCTCAGGCAATCCTTTCGCCTCGGCCTCCCAAAGTGCAGGATTACAGGCTTGAGCCATGCTGCCGGCCTAGCCCAACCTTTCCATTCGTGGCTTAGCATCATAATCTCCAGTAAAATTTCAGGTTCCTTGTCAAGGCAGAAGATCAAAGAACACCCCTTGACTGGCCCAAGCCCTAGAAATGATAATAAGACACCGTTTGGTCCAGGAGCTGGCGGATGGCAAACCTCTGACAAGTCTCTTGCAGGAAAGCCCCACCCCTTATCTCCTCCCATCTAGCCCACCACCTGAAGGCATGAGATGCGGATGTCTGGCCACCACAAGATCTAAGACTTAGGGGACTACGATCAACATCAAAGACCAAAAGTCCCGACCCCAAAGGCCCCTAAACATCCCCAGTTCTTGGCCCTTAGATGCCGCAGTATCCTTCTTTCAACTTTCTTCCTTGTTGCAATCTTGCATGATTCCGGCAGCCTCGCCACCGGCACCAACCCACCTCGCCTCGGGTTACCTTCCAGGCGCCACTTAGCAGCCCCAAGAAAGCGGAATCTTGATTGTCAGGAAAGTGAGACAGAGGCAAGTTCACCCGCCAGACCCCCTGGGCTCGGTCACCAGAGGGGCGTGGCTGGAGCTTGGTACGGAGGTGGACTGACCACAGAAGTGCTGGCTGGAAGCTGGTTTACGCAGCAGGCCAACCCGCAGGCACCCGCCCTCCGGGACGCAGGGGAGGTCTGCCTTGGGAGGGTGGGTCTCCGGACCAGGGGCACCGGGACGGCTGAAAATGACGGTTTCCACTCTCAGAGGCGAAATCCTGGGCCGGCACCCAGCACCGGTGGCAACCAGGCTTCCGACACTCAGGACAGGGAGGGAGGGGAGTCACATTCTTGGATGTTGACTTGGCACCCAGTTTGAACTTGAGTTGGATTTCCTGGAGCCAGCAGCGGGGTGTGGCCACCCTTGACACAGCTTCCACTTCTTTGCCTCCTCCCGGTCCCTCAAGGTGGCGGAGACAGATCCGTGTATCTCCTCGTGCGACCTCCTCCTGGCGTCCCTCCCTATGGGACACCTGGGATCAACTGGCCTTCCACACCCATCCCCACATGGGCTGAACAGCGGCGTCATGGCCGCCAGGTCTCAGCCACGGTGTGCCTCCACGGAACCCACCACGCCTGCCTCCTCTAAACCACCGATCGCAGCCTCCGGAGGGAACCTTGCTTGCAAAATGGCTTGACCCCGATAAAGGCACACCTGGTGCCATGGTTGTGGAGCCAAGTGTGGGCAGCACAGAGGGCCGGGCAGCCTGGGTGAGGCCAGGCCGTCTCGTGGACCCCTGGTAGCCGCCTGGTGCTGTGGCAGCATGCGGCAGATGCTCAAATATATTTCTTGTGTAATTGAGTGAATAAACGCATGTAGCTGCTTCGGGATCAACAGTTGGCCTCATGGCAATCGCGGGGGATGACTCCCACTAGCCCAGCAGCGGAAAGGGGGTGGTAGCAGTTAGAGGTATTTCCTTTTGAAAGGCAAGAGAGGCAAGTTGCAACTCTAAAGACCCGCCAGCTGGCGGGGCAGGTTTTAAGAAAGGCCAAATGGCCCAGAGACTGGCTATTTCACGGAAATGGAAAAGAGTCTTATCTAAAACCCCCCTTCTGAAGTTGACGGTTTACAAGCCTGCACTTCCTGGAAACCATTTGTTCTTTGAAAAATCTGATTTTACTGAGTACAACCTTGTAAGATTCCAGAGGAGGTTTGTAATCACTCAACACGATCCCCCTCCCTTACCTAAACAAGGGTATAAGACCCCACGTCTCCTGTTCTGGGGCGCTCGGTTTGGACGCATTAGTTCCATTGAGCCTGCTGTGCCAGCCAGCGTGATAAAGTGCCCCTTCCTATAATAGTCTTGGTGTCACGATCTCTATTTTTCCTGCTACAGTGCTGATGGCTTCTGCAGAGCCAGGAGCACGGGAAGAGGCAGAGACATGCGAGGCCTTCCAAAGGGACAGGAGCAGACAGACGTCCCTCGTCTCTGTGTAGAGAAGGCCGGTCCCTCGGAGGGGCGGGGAGGCAGCCTTCTCGGTCACCCCTACTACGTGGACCCTCGGGGAAGGCCCATGCCCCTTCCCTGGCCCACTGCCTCCCTGCCGTGGGCGCTCCAGGACGCCCCTGGGTGGTCCCTGGAGAGGGTGGCCACTCTGGTTTCCCTCTGGGACCTGCCTCTCTGGGCCCCGGTTTCTGACCTACACACTGCCGGGGACTCTCGGGAGACGTGAAATGCACGTGCCCGGCACAGGGAACCTACCATGGGAGGCGCAGAGTCCACTGAGGTCACAGAGACCCAGACCTGCCTCCTCTTAGCCTGCAGGCCCAGGGGCTCCTCTCCTGCCTCCAATGGTCTCCGTGGCTGCCGGACGTCCCCTCCTCCGGCTTCTCAAGGCATTTGCTCTCCATTCATGTCTCTCCTGTTCTCACACTGAGCAGCGGGGACCCAATTCCCCTGGGACACCTTCCCTTGGCCTCCAGCCACTGATGCCAGACTCCTCCTCCTTTGGGGCTCCAGCCACTTGCCGCCTCCTCCAGGAAGCCCCTCCCGTTGGAGACAGATCCCTGCCTCCCTGTGCTCCCTGTGCCTGGGTCCTCCGATGCCATAAATTCCGGGTCTGCCGGCCCCTCCCGGCTGGTACCCCGTGGCATGGCTGAGGCCTGAAGTCTTCAGGTGAGGGCGTGCTGGGATGCCAGGGGTCCCCGCACCCGCACCGCCTGGCTCTCCGTGTTCCAGACGCAGCATGTAACCCTTCCCGACTCAGGGTCCTCCCTTGACGTGCCCGGAACCTGCAGGGCCACGCGTGGCCCTCAGCCTTTCCCTGCGAGTCTGAGCGTCGGCCTCCCGCCAGGCCTTAGAGGTCAGGCAAGGAAGGCCGGTGTCTTGCGCGACCCGGGTGCCTCATGCCACTAAGAGGAAGGACAGGCCAGGCGCAGTGGCTCAAGGCTGCAACCCTGGCCTTTTGGGAGGCTGGCCGAGAGGACTGCCTGAGCCCAGGGATTCGAGACCCACCCGGACCTCGTCTCTACAGTATATCAAAAAATGAGCTGGGTGTGGTGGCGCACACCTGTAGTTCTGGCTACTTGGAAGGCTGAGGCAGGAGGAGGATTGCTTGAGCCCAGCAGGTCGAGGCTGCGGTGGCCGGGAGCAGCCACTGCACTCCAGTCTGGGTGACAGAGTGAGACTCCAATTCAAGAAAGAAAAAAAAAAAAAAGAGAAGTCGCCCTTAAATCAACCAAGGTTTTATAAAATGATCAAGCTAATTGCCGGCAAGGAGTAGAACTAAACAGACCCATTCACATAACGTCCGGGAAGTGTAAACTGATAACAAGCAGCCACTCTGGAGGGCACCCTGGCATGAGCATCAGGGGCCCTACGAAGTCCGGGGCTTCTGACCCAGCAATCCCGCCTGCAGGAATGCACGGCGGATCTGTGTGCCCAGGGTGCTGGCACTTCATGCCAAGAGGACGGACAGGAGCAAAGCTCAGGAATTCTCTAAACCTTGAAAGAGGGAGGCTGTGCCCTGACAATAGCACAGCCACATGACAGAGCCCTTGATGACAATTAGACACCCCATTGAGGCTCTGGAAAGGACACGTGTGGGAGGTTGGAAAAGAGATCGTTGGTCGCCAGGAGCGAAGAGGGACTGGCCCCAGAGGAGTGTGGGGTGACACATTCAGTGACAACAGGGGCACGCCTGGATATGGCCCCAAGCGGGGGTTGGAGCCTGGTGAGGGATCCTAGGCGTGGCCACCCGGGAAGTTCCTGTCCCCTCAGCTCCAGCTTGGACATGCCAGTCACGCAGAGGCTGTGGGCAAGGTGTTCTCTGTTTGCTGACCCATTTGGCACCTGGGCATCGTGGATGTCTGGGCATCCTTCCTGGAGGCAGCTGGCCTCCCACCCCGGGCTGGTTCAGACCAGTCAGGCACACCTGGGTCGATGTCCATGACCCGTGGTTACCTTAGTTCACCTTTAGGTCACTATAATACCAGAACTCCGGACCTGGGGAGAACTCAGCTACCACGGGCATCTGCGACCTGTCTGGGAGCCTTCTACACTGGGCTGCACCCTGAAAGCCCCGCCCTGGATGCTCCCCCGTGCCCCGCCCTGGGTTGAAGGCCTTGTCACCCTGCGCCTGCGGAGTTCTGAGCAGGCTGCTGCTGCTCCTGGACCATCTACCCTGCGAGCTCCTGAGTGAAGCGCATCCGAGGTCTCCGGGTCATGCCTACCCTTTGGGAGTCTCTGGGGTCCCACGTGGCTCGAAGAGCTGAGGGAATGGGGAGGGGACGGTGGGCTGGGCTGTCCCTCTCGGAGCTGGTGATTGACTCCACGGCAGTCAAGTTCGTCCAGACTCGTGGACGTGCACGCTGCAAGGGTGGACTTGACATTGTGTAAATCACACCATAACGAGTCTGCCTGTGACCAGAAGAACCTGCTGAGGGACGCTGAGCAGCCGGGAAGCAGACGGGGCTCCAGTGACCTGCAGAGCGAGGCCAGAGAGGCCGGAGCTGGGAGGGAGGCGGGCACATTCGGGGAGGCAGATGGACGGGAACACGTGCCAGAGTGGCTCCCGGAGGCGAAAGTCCGCACTGTCCTCCTCCCTCCGTTTTGCTTGGGTTTGCAGCAAACGGCTCTTCTGTGATGGGGGAGGGAAGTTAGCCACTTGGAAGCCCCGCCCACCAGCTGCGGCGGTCAAGGGGCTCTTCTCTTCCCAGATCCGCCCAGCAGGAGGGAATCCCCGGAGGGCACCCCGGGGCTGGCGAGACCCCGGGGAGAGCAGAGGGCCGGCGGGAGTGAGATCGCCCGGAGAGGCGGGCGGGGGGGGGGGGGGAAGG